TAAAAAATTTCATTTTGCTTGGATCTACCATCAACACTTATGGAAGCAGCAGTCAAGAACACAAATGACATACTGCATTAAGTAAATCTGCTGCATAAGACCTCTTTCAAGTGTTCAAGAGTAAAGATATCAGCAGTTTGAGGACTAAGGTGCGCCTGACCCTAGCCATGGTATTTTCGACAACTTCCTATGCATGTGAAAGTTGGGACAGTGAATTAGGAAGACCGTAGAAGAACAAACAAATCTGTGTTGGAAGACATACAACCAGAATGCTCCTTAGAAGGCAGGATGTGAGACTTAATCTCTCATATCTGGAACACATTACCAGGAGGGACTAGTCCCTGGAGAAGGACATCAGGCTTGGTAAAGTGTAAAGTCAGCAAAATAGAGGAAGATGCGCCCCCGCCCGCCCCAAAATGGATTAGCAGAGTGGCAGCAGCAATGGACTCAAGCTTAACAACAATTGTTGGTTGCTACTGGAACTGACTCGACGGCACTTAACAACAACAACAACCAGGATGGTGTAGGCAGGCAGAGTTTCCTTCTGTCGTGCATAGACTTGTTATGAGTCAAAGGTACCTTACAACAAGAACAATTATTAGGCTCTGTATTTAGCCAGACACCTCATTTTACAACTCAGTTGAATAGCAAAGTGTATAACACATCTCAGGACACAGGAACCTGGTAAATATTAAGTTAATGTTGGTAATGAACTCTATGGCTTAAAAGCACTTACTATTATAACCAATTTGCATTTTCCATTGTTAGCTAATAGTTTACAGTTATTTTCTTACCAAATATTTGCAAACAAAAGCCCTGACTCCAAGGGCCAGAAGAGCACATCCCACCAATCTAAAAATTCGAAAAGAGTCAAATTCTTCTGTTGTACTTCCATCTTCTTGACTGGGTTTCTCACTAATCAGCTGCTTCCTTAGCTTCATTGCTTCTTCAAACCTGGAGAGGTACTGTTCGAGGCCATGGCGAGAACCTCTCTGAACAGTGTCCACTGTCAGCTCCCCTCTGTTCCGCTGCCGGAGCTCCATGGTGACATCATTACTGCATTCAGGTGATTTCATGAAAGAGTCCAGTTTGTCTCCCTGTACTTCAGCCACACCACCCTGCTGGTCAATTGTTCCTGTAGTAACAGAATCACCCAGCACTACTCGCTTTGAAACTGAAGGAAGAGTGAGGGAGTTCAGTTTATCATTGTCCAGCTGCTTTGATTTTGACTGGCTTTCTTCTTCTGAGAAAAGAAAGTTTTAAGCCTTATTTAGTACATATTGAACAAATACTTTACATGTTCATGTTAAAAAAAGATGCTGCTCTGGAAAGGTAAAGGCAGAAATTTTATAGCAAGGAGGGATGTGATTAACTTTTCAGACTAGGAGCGAAGGCCCCTGGGACCATCATTGGAGGAGAGACAGAAATCGGGACCCCACCCAGAGAAGCAGCGAGGCCTGAGATGGAGACAGAGAGGATGACATGAAGAGATGGAATGGCTGAGGACTTGAGATCCAGGGAGGGAAGGGACTGTGGGGAGAGAGGGGGGGCCTGCGGGATATAACCTTTGGTTGGGTGATGATGCATGGACAGGATGGTAACTATGGCAATGAAACGATGTATGATAGAATGAGTGTAAAGCTAATGTTTTTTCCTTTTATTGTGTAATGTGTAAACTATCACACAATAAAAGGAAAAAAAAAAAAAAAAAAAGATGCTGCTGCCAACAGAACGAAGACGCTTATGAATGTAAATTGTTGTTAAGTGTCACCGAGTCAGTTCTGACTCATAACGACCCTGTATAGGGTTTGCAAAGAGTGGTTGGTGAGTTTGAATTGCTGGCCTTGTGGTTCAGTGCTTATCCTACAGCACCATACCAGGACTCCTAAGTTAGTATTGCATAAAACATACAGTAGTTTCTTCTTCTACCAGGAGGCTTCAAAAAGGTCATGGAAAAAATTCCGTTATCTTTCTATTCCATTTTTCTATGACCTTCTTGAGCCTCTGTGTATAAGAGAGGTTTTGAGATTTTCAAAAGCTATCATGGGGATGGGAAATTTTAGAAACAGAGTCATGAAGGTTGTGCAACATTATGAACGTAATTAATGTCACTGAATTAATTATACATGTAAAATTTATTGAGAAAGCAAATGTTTTGTTATATATACATATACCACAATAAATAGGAGGTCACATAGTGGGTTATTCATTGGGCAGCTAACCACAAGGTCAGCAGTTCGAATCCAACAGCCATTCTGAGGGAGAAAGATGAGGCTTTCTGCCCCCATAAAGATTCACAGCCTCAGAAACCTCAAAGTCAGAGTCAGAACCTACTCAATAATACACAATGACCACCATTACCATAAATATGTATTGAAAGAAAGAAAGAAAAAAAAAGGCATCAACCAAAAGAATATTCCTGCCGAAGAAACGATCTAAACCTTGGAAATAAGAGTTAAAACTAGTAGATACATGGAGAAAGATATTCAAAGGGTGGGGCAAGCAATAAAGACCAACTTTTCGTGGATAATCTATCCCAGAGGTATTTCTGCATTACCTGCTCTAGCTTATCTGTGCAAAACATAAAATTATTAAGGTTTATACAAAATCTGTATTTTAAAATTCACTTTGGGAGTCCTGTCAGTTTAGGGTGTGGCATGCCTTACAGCTACTGTTTTTTCATAGTCATACCACTGCAGCCCTGGTAGCGTAGTGGATTACCAGCTGGGCTGCTATCCACAAGGTCAGTAGTTCAAATCTACCAGTCACTCCAAGGAAAAAAGAGGCTTTCTGCTCCCTTAAAGATTTACAGCCTCGGAAACCCTATACAGAGTCACTATGAGTCCGAACTGACTCAGTGGCACACAACAACCACCACTGCAGTCAAGGAACCATTAAGTAGGTCCTTAAAGCAGTTTTATGATGCCATACTGTTATTCTAGGAGAATTTAAATAGCACTCTTACCTCTCCTTTTAAGTTTTCAGCCTCAAATCCATAAATTGTCTAAAGTTCAGGACTCTACAGCTAACGCCTCGATTATCTACAAGGCTTGCAATCCGGGACCAAAAGCCTATTCAATTATTAAAGATAAAGGCAACATTCAGTGGAATCTTAAAGAACAGTTGCTGTTAAGTGCCGTCCAGTAGATTCCAACCCACAGCGACTCTGTATAGGTTTCCAAGGAGCAGCTGGTGAGCTTGAACCACCGCACCAACCTTGCAGTCGGCCGCACTAGCCCACAGCGTTATACCAAAACTCCTAAAGACCGTAGGAACTGTTGAAGAAATATGCACATAAGCAAAACCTTAATTTAAAAAAATCTTATTGCAGGCTCCTCTTTGGCATGAAATACACTTCTGTACATCCATCTCAGCACATTAGTGCCTCGGATGGGCACTTCTCACTTATTGGGACTATCAACAATGCCCACTGGTATTTTTTCACCTCAAGGCCCTTAATACAGACACTGTAGAATGACCATCGAACCCCTGAGCCCACTCAGTAAGGGTTAGGGGGCAGTTCAGTTAACTCAAGCTCGTGTGGACAGAGTTAGAACAAAAGCAAGAAGGTAGACACTGGAAGAGAAGGCGGTTGAAACAAATGTTAAAGAATACAATTTTCTTGAGGGGCGCAGTGGACAGAGCAGTCTGAGGTATAAAATGTACGCCCTTTTAAGAAGGGAAGGGAATGGGGTAGATTTCTTAACCAGACAGAAGGAAAAACGGCAGGTGGACTAAGGAACGAGAGATTTGCAGGCAGTGTGTGTATGTGCGTGTGCGTGTGTCGGGGGGGGGG